GCTTCCGAACAGGCTGATGTGGGTTCCGAACTTGACAGTTCAACTTCCAATCGGGTAACGAATTAACGCGCCAGTGCACTCAAATACAGCGTACAAACATCGCACAGAGACGGTTTCTATTAAACAGACGATTCATTTGTTCGGCTTCAATGATGACATCTTGTCTGGCAATGGACGCGTTTGCGAACTCGCATCTGTGCATCTATCAGTTCCTCTCACTCTTGTAAAAGGCTGACATGACATGCGCAGTAATTTCCTGTACACTACTATTCAACTATCCACGCTGATATCCCATACTGTGATATATCTGACGGTTGCTTCACCCGGCAAGCTCACTTGGTCCTACAATGCGCTTTCCAAACATACTAGTTTTCCGAACAAAGAAACTGTATCTACATTATCTCAGGCTGATCATGAAAGAGTACGGCGCAGCGAATACTAGCACGATAGGGACCATAAGTTGAGTATATCACTGGGGCATGGCTCACTGGAAGTCGGTCCCGTGTCACTTCCTTGCGCTAGACATCAGATATCGCTTCAACCCCCGTACGAACACACAAACTTACGTATGTGCATACATATTTTGAAAACACTGTGAACACTCACACGTCCCCATGCGCTGCCAGTGAGGTGTTATACAACCAGATATATAAAAATATAAACCAGCACCGTGATCAAAACGTCATCTTTTATCGACAATTAGGAAAATGTACACGCATACGTCGAATAGCATTACGACATCCCACAGCGCTGATATCCTTGGTGGCTGCTCCGGCAATACGTTCAAGGAACTGCAGCCTCCATACCGTCTGCGTCATGAGTTTCTGGGGATCCCTGGCCAGAAGTTCCTCGTAATGCACTCTCATCTCATTCTTCACTCTGGTCTTCACCACCTGCCAAACATTCTCGATCAGATTGAGGGACCGAGAGTATGGGCTCAACCTCAGTGTGGTTACTTCCTCGTATCCATCTACTGATGACAGTTCTTCCAGTCGTGTGTGACATGGTGCATTATCACATACCACGGCAACCTGCCGGAGCTCCATCACCCGCTTCAGATTGTCTAAATAGCTTTGCAGCCATTCGAGAGATAGGGGACTAGTAAATGAGCCTATCCGGGTGGTCATCGACACTTTCCCTTCCATTGTGAGTGCACCGATCAAATGCAAATTGAGGCCTCCACTGTTGGCAACTTTGCAACAGGTCCTCACTCATCTGGGCGCCCGACCACGAGTACGCTTGCAGTACACCTTGAAGTTCGTTTCGTCAATCTACATGAAGGACTTGTCATCGCTCTCAAGTTGGAGACACTGCGGAATGAATTTAATGCGCATGCCTTTGGTTCGCTTATTGTGCATTCGCTCGGGAACCTGATAGATGTTCTTCATAGTTATCAATCCACCATCTAGGTACCATGCGATTGTTGACTTCGAAATGTCTGTCCATTTCTACTCGTTGAGCCCCTTGGGATCCAATCCAGTATGTCATCTACATCTTCCTCCGACAGAATCCGCTTACGACCGCGCGCCTGCGTAGTGCTCGGCTCCTGAGCAAGTGAACGGCGAATCCAGAAGTAGGCTGTCTGATATTTGGCGTTGTTCACAGTTGCCACAAGTTGCCAGTCATCACCGTTGACGAAGACGCTCAAAACTCGGTCACGAATTTCTGATGAGATACTCTGTCGAGCGCGAGAAGGCACGCCGACGGCGTTAGTATCATAGACATGGTTTCGGTCGTGCGCTTATGTTCCAGCTGTTCGTTGTTCTCAGACCAATTGTGATCCACCGTTTCGGACGTGAGGGGGGCGCATACAAGCCCGTTGTAACTCTGAACTGCATGCCTCTAGGGTTCATTCACAAGTCTCACCCAGTCAGCGGGCAGCGCGCTCACCCACCAGACTAGCGCACCGAACCTTGGCATCCGGCCAATGAGAATATACTTAAGGTCAGAGGATTGGCTCTGAGCGGCCGGCGAATGGCACAGGGTTTTGCAACATTTTGGACTTCTTTTTGCAAACTTTTGCACTTTCTTTGCAAAATTTTACGCATTATTTGCAGAATTGTTGACCTTTTATGCAACTTTGCGGGAAATGCTATAGTTGGAAAATTAAGGTGTTGCACAAAGACATGTTCATGCACCCACTGTACTAAGTCTCCTTCGAAGAAGTCTGCTTTACTGATCGCATGCCCCCAGTCGGCACTTAGTGGGTTATGGTCACCAAATATTACAAAGCTTGGGGCTGAAGGAGCAGCTCGTTTTAGCAGCTCGCTTAGCTCCTTGTCCTCTCCACGCGTCGACGACGGGTCGCCGTAACCACAAACAATTAATTCGACCTTACCTTCCACTGTCATAAAACATGAAGTGACTTGAACACTGGGGTGCATAGGGTGTACAGGGCTTCCCAATGACAATACTGAGAATGATAAGCAAAAGCACCCCACCTCCACTTCAGCACCAAGTTAAAACAAAAGTGCTGCATCTTGTCAGCTTAACCTGACTTAACCATAGAGGTTGTGGGGTCAAACTACAAGGGAAAACCTTACAACGGAAACCTTGTCTTGTTCCCATCTGAGACTGACTTCATATGTCAACCTTGTTTTCTGCCTCTGCACAGATCAAAGTTTTGGTCCCCGATGAGCTCACACTGTGCCGCAGTCCACATGAAGTTTTCCAGCGTCAATTATAAACTCTCGCGGCTTGCAGCTACTGGGCCGTCGGTTCTTTTCAGCCTTGTGGAACTTGTAGTTCGATTGAGAGTTCAGTGAGGAAAGACAAGTTTGAAGAAATTGCCTTTATGAAGGTGCCATAGGAAAGCAATTCAGAATGTGGGAAAAATCAATGCACGCAGGTCACTTACTTACAGCTGTGCTGTGATACACTGCTGAATCTAGCTTAAACAAAGCGGTTAAACTTAGACACAAAATTGCTGAACTGTGCATTTGGCAATGAAGATGGCAGTCTACCAGGGTCATTAAGGTGATGGTAAAGTGGAAGGAGAATATGAAAAACTGTTTCGTTCCTGTGTGTCACCAGATAATCGCATTTATCGAACTAAGGCTGAACACACTTCACTTGATTATTTTGATCTGTAGCCACCTGGCCCTTACGGCACAGCGGTTGACCACGTTTCGTCGCATTAACTTGAAGGTCAGTCTACGGCGCAGTACATAAGTGTTGTTTCGATCCGCTCAGTTGTTCGCAGGTCCAGACTGCCATATGTGGATTGAGTAATCAAAATTACTTTTCCATTGTATTGTAAGTCGTTTTTGGGATTGTAATGAGTGCTAGTTCTTTACGCGTATTCATTAAGTGAAAGGACCCTGACAACGATATTTTAACTAATACAAATTTAGTCAACATGTTCCGCATTCATCCAAATATTTGAAGCTTAATTGATTAGTAACAGATCTTTGATAAGGCATAGCAAAGAAGACTCAAGAATACCTGACTACCAAAAGTAACGTGGATCCCCACCAAGTTAACTAATAGTGCTTTTCAATTTACGATGGGGAAGATTTGGCAAATGCTACTTGTTGTTATGAAGTCACCCGTCTAAGGTGTGGAAATAATTCGCACAGTATTTTCATGCGCTTGCGGTGATTTCATCACATCTGAGCACATAACCTCATTGGGAAGATGGGAACATCTTAGTCCGCTTGACTACCGTACTTCTCCCCCAGTCATTCACATGCACGTCGCTTGCCGGTTTCCCGCTGTGGAATAGGCCGATAATGGATAAGATTGACAAGATATTCCGGAACGTAGAAAGCTAAATTTATTATTAGCTAAACACGAAATTACACTTTGTGTGGTGTGAGTTACAAATATGTGTATTGGGGAGTAAGCTAGCAACGATATTGCTTATTTGGTTTGACGACTTTGTCACAAGCCTTATGTCAGCTGTCTATTTCTTTTGGCTTGTGCCAAGCTCTAAATATAACCGATGTTCCACAGCCTCCAACAAGATATGAGATCAAGACCACATCGTTTGAAAAGCTTGCCTTGTTGTGTGAGATGCTATCAGAAGTAGGCGGGTATCCCGATCTTCTCTCAGTTAGGATCATGCCTATACGTTCTCTACCAAGGATTTAGTGCGCCGAAAATTTACAACTTTATCGGATAAGTTTATGCTTGGATTATGATTTGTTGGATCACTGACAGAACACAGATGCAAACAGACTCGCTGTTAACATTCGCTTCTCGTTTTGCTTTTCGATGCCTCTTTGAAATAGCTTAGTTCCAGTTAACCCGCAGCTGCAGTGAGAAGGCCCATTTAAATTGAGATCCTAAACCCCGTCCTTGTCGGCCAATCTTGCTTTCTGTAATTAGAAGTATCAATTACGTCCTAACCGGTTGGATGAAATTGTCCCACCATATTCATCTGACTTTATGGCTTTCTTTGCCCAATGAGCATGTAATAAAAACAGCAGCCCAATTGCTTTATTCACACAATATCTAGGTCGACACTGTTGCATGGTCAAATGTGTTTGGCTTTTTCTCTGAACTGACCGCATTCACCTGCTGTGCAACGATGAGCGACAAACTGATAGCAAAGTCACTGGTTCTGCGCTACATTACTGTAAGAATCCTAATATGACACATCCACATAGTGCAGGACGTTTTAGATATGTCGCTTACGAATCATGAAACCTTCCGTTTGCTACTCATGTTGACGAAGACTGGAAAGTTGCGCCCAGTTTCACATTCTCACAAAATGTAAATAGCTGATGTTCCGTGGGTGTGTTCGGAGTCTACTTACCTTTTTGCGTACCAACCAGTTATTTTGCTCTATTCTATTCACTGCCTCTGTCCCTGCATTCCTTAATTTGTTTCCATTCTCCGTGTGTTTTGACAGGCTGTTTTCAAGTGTTGTGTGTTTGTTCAGTATACCGTGTATAATGACAATCATCTTCATTTGTGTCTAAGCCGTTTCGACCAATCACCTTAGTGGAATAGGGTGGAATGCACATCTGAGGTAATCGATGTGGCAATTCTTTCGCACACGCTTATCAACTCAGACAATAATCGGTTCACCAAGAATACAGTGGAATCTTTACATCTCTCAGCTTCGGGAAGATAATTGTGACCTAGTGCTTCGGAGAAACACCCTGCTTAGTTTTACACATCCAAGCAAAAATTGGACAGTCATTGTGGCTGGTCGCCTTTTTAATACTGCCATAAAACACAAGAACCCAAGGAGGGGACGAAATGACCGAATATGTTCGAATGATGGGAGAATTGGATAGAATATCTTGTTTTCTGGCTGGTGAAATAGAAGTTCCTGATGATGTTCCAGGATGGCGGGTGTTGTGTCATTCACCATCCAGATCTTCAGAATATGCACCTACCCTTCCTGATACTTACACAGAACTTGTCAGCAGACCTGCCGGGGCCAGTACTTCAAAGCGTCATGGGAGCGATTATGAGTCAAACCGTGCGGAGAAGCGGAAACGCCTAGGATGTTACAACCGATCAGTCAGCGATATCCGTGTTCCACTCGTTTGGGAGACCTGTTTGCTAACTCTATGGGAACACGCCATCAGACATTCAGTGCCAACCACTGTGCAATGCAAAGAGGTATTTGTGGAGCGAATCAGAAGAATCAGTTCCCTTGCCATTCGATCACTGCAACAGCGTGGGTTTTTCACCCTTAAACATTTACTGGGGGTGTCACGTGCGACAAAAATACACGAATGGGCACGTGACAAATGGATTAAGAGGCCGGATTTATTTCGACCGGGGAAGCTATCTGGTGCTGACCCTGGTGGTTCCAAGACAATAAGGACCGATTTGGTCGCTTGGTTTTGCACTGATGAATTCACTCATGACGAATCAACTGATGATGGGATACACGAAGTTAAACTATTATTTCTTTATCTGGATGCTATTGTGAGAGCTATGGCTCCATATTTGGTGACGCGAACTGGTTTACCGGGGAAGATCGATTCCAGGAGCTGGGCGGCATTGTCCGTCTACAAACGGCATTCTAGTTCAATAGAGGAACCCATTGGATACGTCGCACACTATGATAATCCGGAAGAACTGTCAGATGGTAGATTGCTCTCAATTATGTACTATTTAAACCCCCAATGGGAGTCTTCTTGGGGTGGTAACTTGATTTTGTGGCCACCTGGAGTTACGGTTTCGAAATCGCAAACTTTATGCGGATCAAATCCAGATAATGTTAAGAATTGTACATCGCATACACTGTCTCTGGCGCCCACCCTTGATCGATTGGTTTTGTTTTACGCCGATGAGCGAACGCTTCATCTCGTTCAACCTGTGCTTCCTTCGTCGACAGTTGATGAGAGAATAGCCATCGTAAACTGGTACTTTGACACTGTGGAACGGACGGAGTTTAAGAACAGACAAGAAAGGAACTAAATTAACTGCGACCGGTTTGTATAGTGCGTCTACTAAAGTGCGTTTTCTAAAATGTATTGATCAGCTGGCTTTGTTGACCTGATTTCCGCTTAATAGCACATTCTCGCAGTTCAATTACTCAGATGATTTAGTGCGGAACTTGCAAAAAGTTATCTCACTGTTGTATCTACATATACAACACATGCTTTTAGTGTTCCTTGTATCCAGTACGAGGAATGTATGAGGGAGGCTAGTTCAACATATTTTATGAACGGATGGTTTCAAATCTCTCCCGTAAGTGGTCAAAATCATTAACTACACTTGCAGTGATTGGACACTTTAGTCAAACACACTCCGACATTAGCTGGTCCTATAAAAACATAAATAAGCAGTCTTGATCGGACGCATAGCAGTGAAATGGTTCCCAAACAGATACTTTGTCAAGTTGGTGGCAGCGCCAATATAAATCGTAGGCAGGACATCCGTGTATTTCGGATGACCTGCATTCAGGCGGTGCTTGGTTCCATCAAACCTGACATAGATGCTTGATCATAGTAAGCTAACGTCACGGTGGTGAGTGCCAGACTGTAACTAGTCGCAAGTAGTTCGCTGGTATTTTGCATTCGGTAGCTTACCTCCAGGTACGTGTCATACAAGTGGGTTGTTTTCATAACTGCTGCGCTTGTACTTGAAGTTGGGGGCGACAACTCGTTTCTTCTCACATACTAACTACCAAGTTACGTTCCTTCAATGGGAAATTACTAAACTAGTCCATTGTCCACCGCTAGTACCAGGTCACAGTTGTATATAGTTTACAAGGCCAAATTAGCACATGGCCTAAAATCTACAAAGATTAACCAAACTGCGGCGGTCGGGTATTTTGGATAGAGAAAATAATCAAGTGTTAGAGGCAATTTGCACCATATTTTTCAGGCTTTTACTGATGATCAACACTATTCATTGGGCCGTCGATATAGTTAACGAAATCCTCCACAGGCAAACACATATGTGTACAATCGAACCATGATACAATACGGATAAAAAAAGCCAAGGCTTGACAAGTCCCGTGGGATGGTTTGTTGGAATAAGATTAGTTCAGTGAAGTTACACAACAGTGGAAAACACATCTGTGGACTCACCATATTATCCACGTTAACACATAGATATATCCGTCTACCCCGATTTCGTGGGGTTGGTGAGCACAATAATTGTCTGCTTCTTGTCGTCACTCAATGAATAAAAATCAGATCAAGTAATATAAATGGTCCAAAGTATCGCCGCGTAATTTTTTAAAAATGGACCGCGTGGTTGCGGAAATGACAGAAGTCGAAACAGCGTTTCACGGTTGAGAAACTCGAAGAAACAAATAATTCCGGCGGCAATCAAGCCGACTGTATTGGGTGCAAGTTTCATTTTATAACCCCTTAATTCTGTGTTGCAGCTAAGCTTCAAGATGTGGAGGCCAGCGAGAACGGGGTTTTTCAAAATCTGGAAGGCCAGGATAAAGTCACACCGTAGACCGTGATATCTTCCGCCGTGCACTCTCAGGACTTTCAGTCGCCTATGGTATTGCAGGTGGGACAAACCCTTCTCATTTTTCGTTTCCCGTCACTGTGCGGTCTCCAATGCAACCAGGTCGCGTTTTAAGCATCGTTGCCAAGCCTAGAGCGCGCACTCTACGTGGGGTCTCATATACTCATTGAGGATTTGGGGAACGTTGGAGGGAACGAACCTCCGGAACACCCTCCGTAACAGACCGACCTGTTGATTCGCGGATTTGGACGCCTTCAATGACTGCGCCGAACAGCCGAGGTCGTCTTGCATTACCGCCCCAAGGTCTCACTCTTGTGAGGCTGCATTCAGCATATCGTCTCCAAGCATATATACGTACTTGCGCTTGTGGCCGACATGCACGGTTTTGCACCTGCTCGGCTTATACGGAAGTAGATTTAAGTTTGATCATTCAAAAGCGTAGCCCAAATCTCGTTGCATCCTACCGTGTTCTTCCTGACCGTCGATCACCCTCCAGATCTTGTTGTTATCGGCAAGAAGCAGGGAATTTGGCTTGATGACACTCGCCGGTTCGTTAATGTAGAACAAGATTAACCGGGGCCTTAACACCGACCCTTGTTGAACACCGCAGTCTACACCAATTGGATCAGAAAATGAATCTCAAACTCAAACCTGAAGGCACCACTGAAAGAGGAAGTTTCCCATCCATCCAAGGAGAGGGTTTCCAACGCCGTATGCCTGCAGCTTTCGGAAAAGGATGCGGTGGTCTATGCGGTCGAATGCTTTGAAAAAGTCTAGGTAGAAGACATCAATGCCGGTCCCACTGTCGACTATCTCGGTCCAACTTCTAAAGGAAATCAGTAGGTTGGTAATACATGACCGATGCTGACGGAATCCGCGTCGCTCCGGTACTATGATGTAAAACCTATCAAGTAGCCCATTACAGCCTCGGTTATGATCGATTCCATTACCTTAGAGAGCATTGGGAGGTGAATCACTGGGTGATATTCGGCTGGCTCAGAACGGCTACCACTTTTGAAAATCGGGTTAGGATGTCTTGCTTCCGCATGCTAGGGACCTGCTGTTCCTCCAGGCATCTGAAAATATCTCGTTAGTGGTTCAGCTATCCTCCTAGCCGACATCTGCAGTGCTTTCGGGGGAATGTTCTCAACTCTGGGGGAACTACGGGTGCGCCATTATAGCAGCTTCCTCAAAATGGTCGCTGAACTAAACGTGACGTGTGTAAATACCGGCATCTGGGAGATTGGGACAGGTATGTTACAAATTCTGGGAGCACTTTGGAAAATGGGGGCATATTGTAGCCATAGAACTTCGGCTACATCCTCAGCGGTTTGAGCACATCCATCCGCTGCTATTAGTGGGAGAACACCATGTTTCACATTCCTGACGCTGTTCACATATCTGTAAGGAAGCTATTAGGTAATGGAAAACTTTTCCGCTAGACTCGGCTGGTATACTAATTTGTTCTCACGCACAAGTGTGGTACAGTGATTACGATGCACAAGATATTTACCTCAGTTGTCAGAGTTAGGGTTCACTCTATACACTACCACGCAATGTCTCTTACTGTAATGTGTTTTCAGGTTTTATTCCGAATGAATGATTGTGCCCTTGGGAAGCAAAGGGGCTTGTTGACCGATGTAGATTTAATCAGATCACTGAAGTTGCCAGTAAACCTCAGCCAAGCACTGTCAATAGAAGAGTCACCCGGAAATTCCCAGCTGGCATCTCCCACAAGTTTTGCCTGTATGTCGTAGTTGGTGATTGTTCGAAACAAGCTGGTATGTTCTTGTGGATACTTCGAATAACACGAAGTCTTAAATTATGGTTACGTGCTCGCTTCGCCCCAGAGGACTCTCCAGCCTTGGTTTCTGAATTTTGAGCTTTTCATTCATGACCTCTAAATCAAGCCCAGATGGTTTATTTCCGGCTCTGAATCCGGTGGGTGAACTGACATGACTGAAGAGCGGAATGCCTGCAAAATACTCTTGCAGGTCGGCCTTAAATTGCCAGTTGGGGTGCCAGAACTTCGAAATCATGAAGACTGAAGTCATCTGAAATGAGAACATGATTGCATCATACTTGTAGGACCCTTTCCAAGGATGATGCCAGACGGGAGTCCATCAGTGGAGTGGACATTGGGAGACCATAAACAACCGTCAAAAGCCAAATGTCGTTGCTTCTCAGTCGCGGACTGCACCCGAGTGAGTCTATGATCAGCGTTTCCGGAACGGCCATCTGTTTGCACTGCAGGTGGTTGCGGTAGTACAACATTACCCCCCCCCCGCGTTTGCTAGTTCGATCGTTCCAGAGGAAAAACATACTATTTATCGCGACTTCGGCATCGGTAATTTCTGAGTGCAACCAGGTTTCCGTAACGAGTATGACGTCCAAGACATGTGAAGCTAAACGTAGCCGCAGTTCGACAAGCTTGTTCAGGAGACATTGTGCATTGGTGTACATGCAGGAAAGCTTCTCTGTTTTTAGCAATGAATCATGGGATGTGTATTTTGGATAAAATGTTGTGCGGACCGATGAAAGGTGTGCAACTAATCATTTTTTGGGTGGGGAATGACGAACTCATATGTGTCCGATTCATGGATCCTACCATTAGCTCTTTGCTTCACTTTGTATGTAATGTACGGGATGTGTTTGCCAATTTCGTTGGCTAATTGATTGACCTTATCCCAACTCTTGTCGATAAGTAGTCTGATTTAGTGTCTGCTCTCGTGTGTTTGCTTAGCATATGCTGCTTCGATCCGGAGCTCGGAAGGAAGACGGCTGCCGCCCCAATATCATCACGCCAATACCATTGCTGACATTTGTCTAGATTGAAGGACCAATCTCACAATCCTCGGTCCACATCCCTTATAGTTTGGCGACCGGCGGAGCCTTGAGATTGATTGCGCTATGACCATTTTCAGGGAGAGGGTCTCACGGATATACCGCCGTTACTCCTGGTCGTGAATGGCCGCTTTGCGCTCATCATAACTTCCAGCCTCAGGAACACCATGTACAAGGATTGTCCTGGCTACGAAATCCTTCCAGTTTTCGTCCAAGTGGTGCTTCGTCTGCGCTCCATGTCAGTCCGATAGCGTTAAACTCCCGTGCTGCTGAGATACATTGTACTTGTTCACGTGCACCATACCATGTAGCTGAGCATGTGAACAATGTGTGCAATCACATGACTACAGTTATGATCTGGTGCTGTTGTGCTTCGCTGGATTATTTTAACCAGGCACCTGACAGCTTCCGTTTGTCCGTCGGTTATAAGGGCTACTCGCAACGACGTGCAAGTATGTGTTTGTTGCAAAAACAATAAAAGATGGATGGGAAGCAAAATAATCCATTTGGATCCAACTACCGCACAACAGCTACGGTGAAATCAGCTGATACCGTACCTTTTGATGTCCTAATGTTTGCTGTTAGATAGGAACTTTACCGTTGATACTCACAAGGCTGGAAAACAGTCACCACTTCCTAATGCTTGCAGTCAGCAGCTTTAAACCTACAAATAGCTATGCGTCGTAGTAGTTTCCCCTTACTTATCAACATCTCTGCAAGTCGTGGTGTATAACACAAGAAGAAGAGTGAATAGCTTGATAAAGCGACCCACTGGATTGAGGCAAGTGAAGGGGATTGGTGATCATTAAAACAACTGGATGGGTGAGATGTATAGAAATAAATTGAGCCCA